CTCGTTGTTGAATGCACGTGCTGCACATCACAAAGCTTCTCGAAGAATTAGCTGCTTTTCAATCGGAGCTTGAAGATAGCCGTCCAGAATGGGTTGCTGTTCAATATCCCGTCAGATCGTTGACAAATGAGTTGATCACTTTGTGGTTCATGTTCAGATCTCGAGCGATTTGTCGATTTGACAGTTCTTGAACTTTTTTCGAATCGATTTGATCTTTTTCAAAGTCGATGAGCGGCTTTCCACGCAGCATTACCTGGAAAAACAAAAATTATAACCAATTGCAAGTTAAAGAAGCATAAAAAACAATAATTGTAGCATAAAAAACAACAATGAAAAGCAACAATTGTATTGTAGTTGTAATGAATGAAAAAAAGAGTGAAATAGAGCTCTAATTATGTGAATCAATGCATTCGAGGCGCTTCTATTAGAATAAATGCGATAATCACAGATCCCAAGCCTGCACCTTTTGTACAGTCATGTGCAAAAATCTTTTAACACTCAATTTTCTAAAAAGTTACATCGATTTTCTCGGGGGTGGGACAAATGCGACCTTTTTTTTGCGCACCTGGACATTTGCGCACCTTTTTTTTTGCTGGAAAAGGCCTTAGGAAAGGTCGTAGAGCTTCAAAAATGTTTTCATAGAAGGGAATCGTATGCGTAGATTCCGAATTTCGACAAATCAGACCTCGCTGACACGTCAAATTTGGGCTAAAAGGCAAAAACTACGCAACTTAACGCTTTTCCGCAGTTTTTGCCTTTTAGCCCAAATTTGACGTATCAGCGAGGTCTGATTTGTCGAAATTCGGAATCTACGCATACGATTCCCTTATCTGGAAAAATTTTCGAAATATTTTCGAAGCTCTACGGTCTTTCCTAAGGCCTTTTCCAGCAAAAAAAGGTGCGCAAATGTCCAGGTGCGCAAAAAAAAGGTCGCATTTGTCCCACCCCCATTTTCTCTGATAAAGTTCATGGCGCTCTTTAAGCTATTAATAGTTTTAGTTACACAAATATATCTACAATTTATTTACACAAACGCTGTCGCTATACAAAACTTATTGATCGAGAAAAAAATATAATTGTCAAAACACCCCCGAAAATCGTGGTGCAAAAGTCTTTTAACACTTGAAAAATTTTTTGATTATTTTCGTTCGCTTCTTGTTTACTGGTACTAATTTATTTTTTTAGATGCCAGGAGCGTATTTGTCAACTCGGGTTAAAGAAATGATCGTCAAGGCAAGGAAACAAGGGATGTCACGACGAGACGTTGCTCGCCTCTTAGGATGTACGCCCACAACAGTTTCTCTTGTTATGGCAAAAGTGAATGCGTCTGGAAATGTGCACAGATGTAGCAAAAAAAGGAAGGCCGAGGATTACAACAAAGAATGAAGACTGATTCCTTACGGGAGTTTTCAAGAAGGATCCGAATTTGACGTTGAACGATGGAGCCATTCTTTTCAAGCAAACTTCAAACAAGAATATTTCCCGCTGGACCTTGCATCGACGCTTGCTTCAAGCAGCATTGCATACTAGAAGACCTGCTCGCAAGCCTATGATGACAGCCAAATACAGAAGGCAACGCCTTCAATTTGCTCGAATCTATTCAAATTGGAACGTGCATTCAACAACGTGCAATCAACAACGTGCATTCAACAACGAGCATTCAACAACGAGCATTCAACAACGAGCATTCAACAACGAGCATTCAACAACGGCATTCAACAACGAGCATTCAACAACGTGCAATCAACAACGTGCATTCAACAACGTGCATTCAACAACGTGCATTCACAACGGCATTCCAACGGCATTCAAACGAGCTTCACAGTCCATCCGTGCAATCAACAACGTGCATTCAACAACGTGCATTCAACAACGTGCATTCAACAACGAGCATTCAACAACGTGCATTCAACAACAACAACAACAACCAAATCAAGGCGAATCTGCAATTGAATGTCTCCAACGAAACGGTGATTCCGAAATTTTGTGTGATTTCAAAAAGCAAGTTTTATCAAATGGAGAAATAAAGAAAGCATCTCGGTTGGAACGCCATCATTATCAAGCCTGGATCGACTTTATAACCAATAGATCGAACGAAATAACCAACGGATCGATTGGAAAAAGGTCGTTTATAGCTTAAACCTTTAAACGTTTTTTATTTAGGTTGTGTTTTTGGATGAGAAGAAGTTTAATTGTGATGGTTCTCGATGATTGGGGTGTTTCAGAATTCGATCGTACTGGCAGATGGGTATTTATTTTAATTTAGGTTATGTTTTCGGATGAGAAGAAGTTTAATTGTGATGGTTCAGATGGTTTTCGATGGTGCTGACAGATGGGTATTTATTTTAATTTAGATTGTGTCGTCGGATGAGAGGAAGTTTAATTGTGATGGTTCAGATGATTGGGGTGGTTCGGAATTCGATCGTACTAGTATGTGCGTATTTATTTTAATTTAGATTGCCGGGTCGTCTTGCATTATGGAATTTTGCCTTTTTGGCGACGAGTTCGAATGCAAAATTACATTTTTATGTAGGATGGAGCTCCAATTCATGCCGTCGTACACAAGATTGATTGCAAAGAAAGAGAATAACTCTTCTCTGCGCAAGGACAAGCTTCGATATCCAACGAGATGAGACGAAGTTTGATTCTGATGGTGCTGATGGTTCTCGATGATTGGGGTGGTTCAGAATTCGATTTTACTGGCAGATGGGTATTTATTTTAATTTAGGTTATGTTTTCGGATGAGAAGAAGTTTAATTTTGTTGGTTCAGATGGTTTTCGATCGTACTGACATGATCTGCGCAAGGACAAGCTTCTATATTCGATACGGAACTTTAAGGGAGGAGGAATCATGATGTGGGCTACGATTGCATCGACAGAACGAGTCAAACTGTGCTTCATTTCGAAGAAGATGGATCGGACTACCGGCTCGTATGGAATTTTGGCTTTTTGGGAGACGAAATCACATGCAAAATTACATTTTTATGTAGGATGGAGCTCTAATTCATGCCGTCGTACACAAGATTAATTGCAAAGAAAGAGAATAACTCTTCTCTGCGCAAGGACAAGCTTCGATATCCAACGAGATGAGACGACGATAACGATCTTACTGGCATGATCTGCGCAAGGACAAGCTTCGATATCCAACGAGATGAGACGACGATAACGATCTTACTGGCATGATCTGCGCAAGGACAAGCTTCGATCTTTGAGACGGAACTTTAAGGAAAATAAAAGGAAACAAAAGGAAACAAAAGGAAAACAAAAGAAAAAGAAAAACGAAAGATTTCCATATGAAAAACGTTAAAAAGTTCGAATCTTATTCTTCAGTTCTAATCGGAATAAACGATTCTCAACTCATGCACAAATATTGCCCCTCTTTCCCGCAAAACGGTAAAAGAAACCGATGATCCTCTTCAATTAATCCGTTTTTCTCGGCTCTTCAAGCAATCACATATGAAATTTTAGAGAAATCATAGAAATCATAGAAATCATAGAAATTCTGTTGGAAAACTGTTGAATGAAAAAGTTGCACTTAAAGTTTACAAAAAACTCGTTTGCATTACCCAACTTGACACGCCAGGAAGGAAATTTTTACCAAAATTCGCTTCCATCTGGTTCAATTACCCAATTTTGGCCAAAATTCGGTTCGATTACTCAAGCCAGGCGAGAAATTTAGGAAAAACAAAAGTTCCCAAAATTATGTCCGCTACTGTACATCCAAGATTAGTCTTGGATGTACAGTAGTGTCCGCTACTGTACTTTCATTTCATCGGTAATACTCAAAAAATACTTGAATATCGGAATCGAACCCTTGGGTAATATTGGGTTGATGCATAATTATCCGGACTTCTTTTTGCGTGCTTGTATCTTTTTTGTTTTGAAAGCTTTTTGTCTATTTCTTTTTTTTAAATATTCGTTATTCTTTAGTGAACAAAATGCGTGTCGACAATCATATCCATCTTCGCCATATCATGCTCTACCACTTCGAAAAGGGATGGTCTGCCGCAGAGTCGTTTCGCGATCTCAAAGAACTGGAGAAGCCCCAACGGACTACCACGTCAATCGATCGCTCAAAAATTGGCAAACAAATAAGATCTACAACGATTTGGATGACTTGATAGACGATGTTAAAGCGTGGATTGCCTCCAAAGATCGTTTATTCTTCGCTCGTGGAATCGATCGTCTTCCAAGCAAATGGCAATCAGTTATTGATGTAGGCGGTGAATATGCTCCAGAATAATCAATTAAACATATTTTTCTAACTATTTATGTTATTTTTTGTTAAATAAAATCTTTAATAAAAGAAGTCCGGATAATTATGCATCAACCCAATATTTATGTTATTTTTTGTTAAATAAAATCATTTATAAAAGAAGTCCGGATAATTATGCATCAACTCAATAGTTGTTGCGCCGTTTTTTGCCCGTTTTCTTTACTTTCTTCCTTTATCTTTCCGCATATCTTGTCACACTTGTAAAAAGATTTTAGATGATGGCTTGTTAAGTAGGAACATGCACGAGAAACGTGTTTCTTTACGTGTTCAACTTTACGAACTAAACACTGTTGAACCATCCCGCATTACGAGTGCATATGGAGCCGATAAAGCCATCATATGACTTGTTAAGTAGGAACATGCACGAAACGTGTTTCTTTTCCAAAATTATGTCCGCTACTCTACTTGAGAGACAACGTTTCCTAACTTCAAAAAAAAATAAAACAAATATCGATAAACAAATATCGATATTATCGATATAATACTTTTAATTAAATATTCAAATCCTGTTATTTTTTGTTTTGAGAAGCATTCATTCATTTTTCTTTTGATGAAATTTCGCTGCGAATGCACTTGATAGAAAGACAAAAAAGACAAAAAAGACGAAAAGTGCAAGACAACAAGTGCAAGAAAACAAGCCGGGGGAAATGGGTGCCCAGCCAAACAAAATTCAGTCTTATCTTTCATTCTCTATTTGTTATTTGATATTTTGTCTATTTTCAATATGCCTCTTCTTCCACCCAACATACAAGTAACATCTTTTTGTAGATCTAAATCTTTAGAAAAATTGGTCTAAGGGAAAAATTGGTTGCACTCAAGGAGACAAGAAGGGATCAAGTGTGGAGAAAAACGATAATGGAATGGCACGAAGGAGAAGCGATGACGATATAACACCGAAAATTGTGAGTAAAAATTGTAATCCTAGCTCCTAGCTGGAATATCCTATCTAATTTCAACTATTCAATTTTGTGCCTTTTAAATGCCTCTTTCTTTCTTTCTTTCTTTCTTTCTTTCTTTCTTTCTTTCTTTCAACTTTCTTCAAATTCAATATTTTTGCAATATTTTTTTCATTTTCAAATAGTAAAAACATTTCTCTACATTTTCACATAGATTCCGTACAAAAATGTTAAATTTTTGGTTTTAGTTAAGACAAAATAGTCAAAGAAGCCTATACGGCTTAAGAAAATAGGCCTCTACGTCTCATCATTATTACAGCTCTTAGGAAGGTTCTTTTTATAAGTTTTATGATAATTCATTAAAGAAATACACCATTCAAACCATTAAAAATTGGAAACCAAGATCTAAAGATTTAATTTTACTATTTAAGTAATTAGGATTCCGAGCTCGGCTTGCCCCATATCCCCCTTGAAATTTTGGGTAAGTGGGGAAGGGGGGCGGTTGACAGTTGGAACAATTGGAAGGGGGATTGTCCCCCTTCTAACTGTTGGGAGGATCATGAAAGGAACCGTATTGGAACCGTATTGGAACCGTATCAGATTAAAATAGGAACCGTATTGGAACCGTATCAGATGAAAATAGGAACCAGTTGGAAGGGGGATTGTCCCCCTTGCAACTATTGGGAGGATCATGAAAGGAACCGTATTGGAACCGTATTGGAACCGTATCAGATGAAAATAGGAACCGTATTGGAACCGTATCAGATCAAAATAGAAACCAGTTGGAAGGATCATGAAAGGAACCGTATTGGAACCGTATCAGATGAAAATAGGAACCAGTTGGAAGGGGGATTGTCCCCCTTCCAACTATTGGGAGGATCATGAAAGGAACCGTATTGGAACCGTATTGGAACCGTATCAGATGAAAATAGGAACCGTATCAGATCAAAATAGAAACCAGTTGGAAGGATCATGAAAGGAACCGTATTGGAACCGTATCAGATGAAAATAGGAACCAGTTGGAAGGGGGATTGTCCCCCTTCCAACTATTGGGAGGATCATGAAAGGAACCGTATTGGAACCGTATTGGAACCGTATCAGATGAAAATAGGAACCAGTTGGAAGGGGGATTGTCCCCCTTCCAACTGTTGGGAGGATCATGAAAGGAACCGTATTGGAACCGTATCAGATCAAAATAGGAACCAGTTGGAAGGGGGATTAACCCCCTTCCAACTGTTGGGTGGGGCATTGTCCCCCTTCCAACTGTTGGGTGGGGTATTGACCCCCTTCCAACCTTGCACAAAATTAAAAAGACCCTAGTTTATGCATACAACTCCACGACATTCAAGAACGAGATTTAAAAGTGCAAAAATTTAATAGTTAAAATGAAGCAATTTGAATCATTTTCATCATAATGTCATTATTTATTCAAAATACAATATTTAGATTGGAAGAAACATTGAAACTGGTGAGAAAGTCTTCGAAGCACAGGGTCAAGCCTATGGAATTGTGAAGGGGGAACGAGTTGAAGAGAGAAATGTCGAACGTTTTGAGCATTGAAAACCTGTTTGTCGGTGCCTACTTGTATAATAAAAGCTTGTATATAAGCATATTTTTGTTATAATTAATATAATTGTTCTAGAATGTTATTTCGAAAAGTTTTTTTGTTGAGCAATTCTTTGAACGCTTTTGTTTTTGCAATACTTTTTTGCAATTGAATAAATATTATGAAACGAATCTGAAGGTAACTTGACATTTAATTAGAGAAAGTTTTGCTATTTTGGGAAGCTGGCTTTGACAGAAGCCTTGGTTTGTCAAAGAATTACCCTGCAAATCGAAATTTTTCATTTTTCAGTTTCTGTTAAATTTTTTACATTGAAAGTTTTTTACATTGAAAGTACATTGATGCAAGGCATTGAAAGAACAAAGTAACTGAAAGTAGTTAAGGCAAAGTCATGCATAATTCCAAATTTTTAGGTATTTTAGGTATTTGCCGATTTGTGGCTCCGAATTTAATGTCACGATTGTTACAAATGGGATAACCTCGTTGTTTGTTGTTTGTTTGGCTCATTGTTGTTTGCTCATCATTGTTTTACTTATCTTATTACATTGAAATTTTAGTTCGACGAATAAAAAAGTTTAAAGGCGTTTTTCTCTATGTTCTTTCGAAGGAATGTACATAATAAATAGCACTTTTCTACAGTCAAATTTGATGAGGATTCTTTTAAAACCAACTGTAAATCGATTCATGGTCTGTACATTGAGATATAAGCAGTCAAAGTTGATCAACTTCTGCGGGTAAGCAGTTCAACTTTGACGTCGTTTTTCTCTATATTCTTACGAAGGAATGTACAAAATAAATAGCACTTTTCTACAGTCAAATTTGATGAGGATTCTTTTAAAGCCAACCGTAAGTTAATCCAATGCTTATACCTCAAGTTATAAACCGTCAAAGTTGATCAACTTCTGCAGCTAAGTAGGTCAACTTTGATACAATTTTTCTATATGTTCTTACAAGTTAATGTACAAAACAAATTGCACTTTTCTATAGTCAAATTTGATGAGGATTCTTTCAAAATCAACTATAAGTCGATCTGTTTGCTGAAAGTCGAGTTATAGAGTAAAACAGAAAGTGCCATTTTCACTATAGAAAAGCGGCACTTTAGCGCACTACTTTTCAAAGCCGTTTTTCTCTATGTTCTTACAGAGGAGTATACAAAATAAATAGCACTTTTCTCTAGCCAAATTTAATGAGAATTCTAATGAATCCAATCGTAAGTCGATCCAATGCTTGTAAGTCGAGATATAAACCGTCAAAGTTGATCGACGGTAGGTAGATCAACTTTGACACAATTTTTCTATATATTCTTACAGGTTAATGTACAAAACAAACAACACTTTTCTACAGTCAAAATTAATGAGGATTCTATTAAAATTAACCGTAAATCGATTCATGGTCTGTACATTGAGATATAAGCAGTCAAAGTTCATCGACTTCTGCAGGTAAGTAGTTCAACTTTGAAACAATTTTTCTATATATTCTTACAAGTTAGTGCACCAAACAAATTGCACTTTTCTATCGTCAAATTTGATGAGGATTCTTTTAAAATCAACTATAAGTCGATCTGTTTGCTGGAAGTCGAGATATAGAGTAAAACAGAAAGTCCCATTTTCACTATAGAAAAGCGGCACTTTAGCGCACTACTTTTCAAAGCCGTTTTTCTTTATGTTCTTACGAAGGAATGTACAAAATAAATAGCACTTTTCTCTAGCCAAATTTAATGAGAATTCTAATGAATCCAATCGTAAGTCGATCCAATGCTTGTACGTCGAGATATAAGCAGTCAAAGTTGATCGACTTCTGCAGGTAAGTAGGTCAACTTTGACGTCGTTTTTCTCTATATTCTTACGAAGGAATGTACAAAATAAATAGCACTTTTCTCTAGCCAAATTTAATGAGAATTCTAATGAATCCAATCGTAAGTCGATCCAATGCTTGTACGTCGAGATATAAGCAGTCAAAGTTGATCGACTTCTGCAGGTAAGTAGGTCAACTTTGACGTCGTTTTTCTCTATATTCTTACGAAGGAATGTACAAAACAAATAGCACTTTTCTACAGTCAAATTTGATGAGGATTCTTTTAAAGCCAACCGTAAGTTAATCCAATGCTTGTACCTCAAGTTATAAACCGTCAAAGTTGATCAACTTCTGCAGCTAAGTAGGTCAACTTTGATACAATTTTTCTATATATTCTTACAAGTTAATGTACAAAACAAATTGCATTTTTCTCTAGTCAAGTAGACAAGTAAACATTTTAAACAAACGATATACAGCTTTCAGAAAAAATTAGTTTACAATGGGATGAGACAAAATGGGCATAGAAGATTGGCATAGAAGATTTTGTCGTCATTGGTATGCAAACGTCTATTGGAGACCGGGAATCCGATGCTGTATTCAGTTCATATTTATATTAATCATATTCTCATATTCATATTCATCTCACATTCAAAAACACGCGAGAAAAATATGTTCAAAGTTTGGGTTTCTACTCGGGGAAACTGTCTACTCGACTGTCTAGACTTGTTTTACTTCAATAGACTTCAGCTTTACTTTAAGGCTCTTTGTCGGCCTTCCGATTGTGGCCAGATGGCGTAATGGTAGATTCTGAATTTCCCTTGTGAGCTGAGCTGAGCTCCCTTGTGAGCTCAGTCTTTCCCTTGTGAGCTGAGCTGAGCTCCCTTGTGAGCTCAGTCTTTCCCTTGTGAGCTGAGCTGAGCTCCCTTGTGAGCTCAGTCTTTCCCTTGTGAGCTGAGCTGAGCTGAGCTAAGGTAACAAATCTGTCACTTCTTTTTGCCCCAAATTCCTTTTCCTTGCGTAGCTCTTTTACTGAATATCTTTCTGTTGAGCCTACAAAGGCAAAGGCAAAGGCCTACAAAGGCCTACAAAGGCCTACAAAGGCCTACAAAGGCCTACAAAGGTCTAAAAAAGCCTACAAAGGCCTACAAAGTCAATTCAATTCAATCCCTTTCATTTACCCAATCTACTGTGTCAGGAAGGGAATTTTGCGGAAAATCCGGTTCATTTTCCCAACTTGACATGCTGAGAAGGGAATTTTTAGATTCAAAGCCAAAACTCCGATTCAATTACCTGGTTCAATTCAATAACTGGTTCAATTCAATAACTAGTTCAATTCAATGACCTAGTTCAATTCAATGCCCTAGTTCAATTCAATGCCCTAGTTCAATTCAATCCCTGGTTCAATTGCCTAGCTTCTAGGAAGGGTTTAATTTGTGGTAAGTCCTATTCAATTGCTCAATCTAGCTAGTACAAGAATTTTTGAGCTCACAGTTTGCTTTATAATCAAAATGATCATTTTTCATAAATCCAAAGTCCAAAAATCGTTTCCGCCTCCTTTTCTTTATCACCAACTCGAATCTGACCCCAATTTTCTCTTTCTTTGCGTGGGTGAATGGGGCGATCCAATTTTTGCCGATTTTTGCCAATTTTCTTTTGCCTGAGGCTTTTTTTCCTTTTTGAATCGTCTCTTATCACTATTTGGAAGTATATTATCACTGTTTTGAAGGATTTTTCACTATTTTGAAGTATTTTTCACTGTTTGGAAGTATTTTCCACAAAATTGTAAGGAAATTTCAGTTTACTTCGTTTATTTTACTAAAAAAACGTTTACTTTTGTCGATTTTCTTGTTTATTCTTTTATTTGTCCTGTTTATTTTAACTGGAATCCTTTTTTCAATACTTTAATCTTGTTTTTAGTTCGTTTTACTTCAGTAGACTTGAATAGACTTCAGCTTTACTTGAATAGACTTCAACTTTACTTGAATAGACTTGTTTTACTTGAATAGACTTGTTTTACTTGAATAGACTTCAACTTTACTTGAATAGACGTCAGCTTTACTTCGATAGACTTCAGCTTTACTTGAATAGACTTGTTTTACTTGAATAGACTTCAGCTTTACTTCAATAGACTTCAGCTTTACTTCAGTAGACTTCAGCTTTACTTGAATAGACTTCAGCTTTACTTCAGTAGACTTCAGCTTTACTTCAGTAGACTTCAGCTTTACTTGAATAGACTTCAGCTTTACTTCAGTAGACTTCAGCTTTACTTCAGTAGACTTCAGCTTTACTTCAGTAGACTTCAGCTTTACTTGAATAGACTTGTTTTACTTGAATAGACTTCAGCTTTACTTCAATAGACTTCAGCTTTACTTCAATAGACTTCAGCTTTACTTGAATAGACTTCAGCTTTACTTCAGTAGACTTCAGCTTTACTTCAATAGACTTGTTTTACTTGAATAGACTTCAGCTTTACTTCAATAGACTTCAGCTTTACTTCAATAGACTTCAGCTTTACTTGAATAGACTTCAGCTTTACTTCAGTAGACTTCAGCTTTACTTGAATAGACTTGTTTTACTTGAATAGACTTCAGCTTTACTTCAATAGACTTCAGCTTTACTTCAATAGACTTCAGCTTTACTTGAATAGACTTCAGCTTTACTTCAGTAGACTTCAGCTTTACTTGAATAGACTTGTTTTACTTGAATAGACTTCAGCTTTACTTCAATAGACTTCAGCTTTACTTCAATAGACTTCAGCTTTACTTGAATAGACTTCAGCTTTACTTCAGTAGACTTCAGCTTTACTTGAATAGACTTGTTTTACTTGAATAGACTTCAGCTTTACTTCAATAGACTTCAGCTTTACTTCAATAGACTTCAGCTTTACTTGAATAGACTTCAGCTTTACTTCAGTAGACTTCAGCTTTACTTGAATAGACTTGTTTTACTTGAATAGACTTCAGCTTTACTTCAATAGACTTCAGCTTTACTTCAATAGACTTCAGCTTTACTTGAATAGACTTCAGCTTTACTTCAGTAGACTTCAGCTTTACTTGAATAGACTTGTTTTACTTGAATAGACTTCAGCTTTACTTCAATAGACTTCAGCTTTACTTGAATAGACTTGTTTTACTTGAATAGACTTCAGCTTTACTTGAATAGACTTCAGCTTTACTTGAATAGACTTGTTTTACTTGAATAGACTTCAGCTTTACTTGAATAGACTTGTTTTACTTGAATAGACTTCAGCTTTACTTCAGTAGACTTCAGCTTTACTTGAATAGACTTCAGCTTTACTTGAATAGACTTCAGCTTTACTTCAGTAGACTTCAGCTTTACTTGAATAGACTTCAGCTTTACTTGAATAGACTTCAGCTTTACTTCAGTAGACTTCAGCTTTACTTGAATAGACTTCAGCTTTACTTCAATAGACGTCATTCTTTGTTTACATTTCATAGAAAACTCAATCAAATGCAGAAAATCAAATGCAGAAAGTTTATGTTTACTCAAATGAGCACAAAAGTAAAAGGCAAATTCGATTCTTAAATTGTTTTTTTGTTTTTGAGATCAATTTCTCTAGATCTAATTGCCATTAGCATGCCATTAGCAATTAGATTAGCAATAGCATAAGTAGATTAGCAAATTTTATGAATCAAATTGATTCATAGAATTGATTTTATCGCGATTTCATAAGTTTGATTGATTGATTGATTGATTCTGTTTGATTGATCTCTGCTTTTCGATCTTAAATCTTTATTATTCTATTTAAAATCTTCATTATTCTATTTAAAATCTTCATCATTATATTTAAAACATAAGCAAAACAGCTTTAAAGCTTTCAGCATTGAAGGACAGCTTTCAGCTTTGAAAAATGACGAAGAAGATCAATTTTGGAGCTGGTCCAGCGAAAATCCCTGAGGAAGTAAGTTTATTTTAAAAAAAATTTACAAATCTATTACAAATCTATTATAAATCTATTACAAAATTACAAATTTTGATCGATCTTTTAATTTTATATGAAAGCTAAACAATAATAAACAAATAAAACAATAATCGTCAATTTTTCAAGTAAATTCAAGCTTTACAAATGGTTCAGGTGATGGAAAAAGCCGCCAGCGAGTTCATTCACTTTGGGAACACTGGAGTCTCGATTCTAGGTAAAGAAAAGAAGAAAAAATGATCTTTAGCTATAGAATTTTGAGGTAAACTGAGATAAACTGAGCTAAACTGAGCTAGAGATGAGCTAAACTGAGCTAAACTCAGCTAGAGATGAGCTAAACTGAGCTAAACTGAGCTAGAGATGAGCTAAACTGAGCTAAACTCAGCTAGAGATGAGCTAAACTGAGCTAAACTGAGCTAGAGATGGGCAAACTGAGCTAAACTCAGTAGAGATGAGCTAAACTGAGCAAACTGAGCTAGAGATGAGCTAAACTGAGCAAACTCAGCTAGAGATGAGCTAAACTGAGCTAAACTGAGCTAGAGATGGGCTAAACTGAGCTAAACTCAGCTAGAGATGAGCTAAACTGAGCTAAACTGAGCTAAAGATGAGCTAAACTGAGCTAAACTCAGCTAGAGATGAGCTAAACTGAGCTAGAGATGAGCTAAACATTCACTTTCTTAAAGACTTACTTCAATTTTCTCATTTTCTATTTCATTTTCATTCATTTTACATTCATTTTTCACCTTTTCCCTTTCAGAAATGTCTCACCGATCCGCCGATTTCACCGCAATCATTGAGGAAACGAAAGCACTGTTGCGGGATTTGATGTGAGGATTGAGAAAGCGTTAAAAACCCTTGAAAACGTTGAAAACACTTTAGATATCAAATTTTATTATCTTTAGGTGTATTTAAGCTTTAGCTCAGCTTTAGGTGTATTTAAGAAGGTTTACGACATGGCAAAGGTACTGTCGCCTCAAATGGTAACAGCTCATTTGGGTAGTTGATTGCTCTTTTTGGTTGCTTTTGCTAAGGCAAAAAGATGAAATAGCTCCAATCGATTCCCCGCTCTTGAAAACCCTTGGGTACAAATTTACAGCTAAATATCCTAGAAAGCAAAAGAAAAAATCAGTAAATGATTGGTGAGTGTTCTTTCTGCGTTCTTTGTGCGGCCGCGTAATCGCCCTCCATCTGGCACAAGCGCCCGATACATAGGTGTTCCTTTTCGCACGCGTAAAGTGAAAGGACCGATGATTTGGGCATAGTGAAAGGGCGTCACTATGCCTAAACTCCTGAGTGCAAGTGACTCGAAAGATGATTCAATGTCAAGCGATGTTGGTGTGGAAAGATGAGGAGGGGGCTTCCCTTTTTGTCTTCCCTTAAAGCGAAAGGACCAGTAAGCGATTGGGTCGGGGAGTTTGGGCGTCACTATGCCCAAACTCCTGAGTCTGAGTGACTCGAAAGATGATTGAATGTCAAGCGATGATTATGGAAAGATGATGAGGATTTTTGTGCATCAGAGGGATGGTTGAATTGATTTTTCTGCGTCAGAGGGATGGTTGAATTGATTTATTTGCATCAAAAGGATGGTTGAATTGATTTATTTGCATCAGAGGGATGGTTGAATTGATTTATTTGCATCAAAGGGATGGTTGAATTGATTTATTTGCATCAAAGGGATGGTTGAATTGATTTATTTGCATCAAAGGGACGGTTGAATTGATTTATTTGCATCAGAGGAATGGTTGAATTGATTTATTTGCATCAGAGGGATGGTTGAATTGATTTTTCTGCGTCAAAGGGATGGTTGAATTGATTTATTTGCATCAGAGGGATGGTTGAATTGATTTATTTGCATCAAAGGGATGGTTGAATTGATTTATTTGCATCAAAGGGATGGTTGAATTGATTTATTTGCATCAAAGGGACGGTTGAATTGATTTATTTGCATCAGAGGAATGGTTGAATTGATTTATTTGCATCAGAGGGATGGTTGAATTGATTTTTCTGCGTCAAAGGGATGGTTGAATTGATTTATTTGCATCAGAGGGATGGTTGAATTGATTTATTTGCATCAGAGGGATGGTTGAATTGATTTTTCTGCGTCAAAGGGATGGTTGAATTGATTTATTTGCATCAAAGGGACGGTTGAATTGATTTATTTGCATCAGAGGAATGGTTGAATTGATTTATTTGCATCAGAGGGATGGTTGAATTGATTTATTTGCATCAAAAGGATGGTTGAATTGATTTATTTGCATCAGAGGGATGGTTGAATTGATTTTCCTGGCGATCCTGGCCACCATCGGCTTGCCAAAACTTTTTTCCACTTTTGCAGTCATTTGGGTTCATGTCATTTGGCCACCTCAGCCCTGTGACCACCTTGGGACTTTTCCTTGTGAGATAATGCGCTTTGCTTGCGAGTTCTGTCAGTTCTCTTAGGATTGTGGTTTTGTCTCTCGATCTAGGATTCAGAATCGGACTGGTCCAGGTCGGTCCAGTCCAGATTGGACCGGTCCAGATCTATCTAGCCCAGATCTATCTAGTCCAGATCGATCCAGTCTAGATCTATCTAGTCCAGATCTATCTAGTCCAGATTGATCCAGTCCAGATTGATCCAGTCCAGATTGATCCAGTCCAGATTGATCCAGTCCAGATCGATCCAGTCCAGATCTATCTAGTCCAGATCTATCTAGTCCAAATCAATCCAATCCAAATCAATCCAACCCAGATCAATCCAATCCAATTCAAAAACCACATCACTTCCAATCATTTCCAGGCAAATCCCCGATAATTACGAGGTGTTATTCATGCATGGTGGAGGCACTGGACAATTTGCTGCGGTTCCGTTGAATTTGAAGAGAGATAAGGTCGATTTTCTAGTAAAGCCTCGACTTCTAACAGTACCGACGACTTTTTTATAATCCTATCAAATTTTAGACAAGTGCTGACTATTTGGTGACTGGCTCGTGGTCAGATAAAGCTTTCAAAGAAGCACAGAAATATCTTGATGCTAAAAGGGTTTGCATTTTGAACGATAAAAAGTAAAAAACAGGGTTTTTTGGGTAAATTTACTCTGGCTGACGTATAAATGACACATAATAAATATTTGTATTGAGTTTTTTGTCTTCAAATTTGTATTGAAGTGTCAAAGAGTGAGTACAGTAAGCTTATTGAGTTCTTTAAGGCTTACTGAGTTAAGGCTTACTGAGTAAGGGTACACTAAGGCTTATTGAGTTCTTTAAGGCTTGCTGTAAGTACAGGAAGGCTTACTGCAGTGGGCTTACTGCACTGGCTTACTGCCTTATTTGAAGAAGTGATACTGTAAAGCTAAAGGTTCAAGTACGGACTGTAGTTGGGTACTTAAAGTATTTGTTTTGAGCACTGTAAAGACTAAATAGACTTGAAATCTGATTCCAGGTCACTCCTGCAGTCAAACCAATCACCAGGGTACCCCCAGAAAACGAATGGACACGAGATCCCGATGCAGCCTATCTCTACTATTGTGCAAATGAAACGATTCACGGGATTGAGTTCTTTAAGGTATCAAATAACGGTTAAAATCCTAAACTAGTAACTAGAAAGATCTAGAAAGATCTAGAAAGATTTCGATAAGTTTCAGGCACCCGAAACACTGCCTGGTGTGCCGCTTGTCGCTGACATTTCGAGCACTTTCCTCTCGAGACCTTTTGATTTTACGAATGTGAGTACACTAATCTATGGCCGGCAGCGAGAGAATCCTTATAAAGGATGGTTTTGAATTCCGATTTTGCGAATTTCCGTAGTCATTAGCAGCTAATTTTTCCACTGTTTTGTTCGCCATTGTTGATTCTATGTTAAGCACTTTGTTTCCAGTTTTTTCTGAACTTTGAGTTGAGATCATTCCCTAAGCATAGCATTGTCTTTAATAGTTTAATCTCAAATAGCTGTTTCTAATAGCTGTTTCTACTAGCTGTTTCTAATAGCTGTTTCTAATAGCTGTTTCTAATAGCTGTTTCTAATAGCTGTTTCTAATAGCTGTTTCTAATAGCTGTTTCTAATAGCTGTTTCTAATAGCTGTTTCTAATAGCTGTTTCTAATAGCTGTTTCTAATAGCTATTTCTACTAGCTGTTTCTACTAGCTGTTTCTAATAGCTGTTTCTAATAGCTGTTTCTAATAGCTGTTTCTAATAGCTATTTCTACTAGCTGTTTCTAATAGCTCTAATAACTTTGATTTGAGATCATTCGCTTGTTAGTAAGAAAAACACTAGGTAAAAGCATTAAACAGTAAAGAAAGCATTAAACTTGGGAGGAAGAGGGTGATCAAACTTGAAGTAATCCTTTGAAGGAAGTAAGGAAGTAAAATTCTCTCCCACTTTTCTCTTTTACAACTTTGGTTTTTAGAAACTTTGATCATTAGAAACGTTATAAACTTAGAAACGTTATAAAGTTATAAACTTAGAAACGTTATAAAGTTAGAAACGTTAGAAACGTTAGAAACGTTTCTGCAAACTGCAGAAGTGCGGTTAACTACAGAAGCATCTTTGTATCTTGTATTTCTTTTGTATCTTTGTATTTTCAGCACGGTGTTGTCCTCGGTGGAACCCAGAAAAACCTCGGCGCAGCTGGGTTGACGGTGGCTATTGTGAGGAAGGATCTGATTGGACATGTGGGTCGATTACTGTATCTAATCTAGTCTACAGTAGCTCTTACAAACTGTAACTTGTTACTGCTGACTCAATCTGACTCAATCTGACTCAATCTGACTCAATTTGACTCAATTTGACTCAATCTGACTCTCAATTTGACTCTCGAAACTTTCAGGAGCTTCAAATCACTCCATCTGTTCTCTCCTACAAAATCGCTCACGATAACAACAGTGTCTACAATACGCCATCAGTTTACAGGTATTTTAGCTATTGTAATCTTTAAACTATTGTTTCGATTCAATCAATTCAATCAATTCAATCGATTCAATCAATTCAATCGATTCAATTGATTCAATCGATCGATTCAATCAATTCAATCAATTCAATTGATTCAATCGATTCAATCGATCGATTCAATCAATTCAATCAATTCAATCAATTCAATCAATTCAATCGATTCAATCGATCGATTCAATCAATTCAATCAATTCAATCAATTCAATCAATTCAATCGATTCAATCGATCGATTCAATCAATTCAATCAATTCAATCAATTCAATCAATTCAATCGATTCAATCGATCGATTCAATCAATTCAATCAATTCAATTGATTCAATCCATTCAATCAATTCAATCAATTTTATCTAATTCTTTCAGCATTTACATAACGAATCTTGTTCTAAAATGGATAAAAGAGAAAGGAGGAGCTGAACGATTTGCCCAAATGAATCAAGTAAAACAATAGCTATAAATCTATTTAATTTCTCTCTTTTCTAGGAAAAAGCTTCTTTAATCTACTCAATCATTGATGATTCAAACGACTTTTTCTATTGTCCAATTGATAAAGAGCATCGATCGTTGATGAATATTCCGTTTAGGTACATTTGAAGGGCAATACTTTAGCTGTACTTTAGCTATACTTTAGCTATACTTTAGCTATACTTTAGCTGTACTTTAAGCTATACTTTAGCCATACTTCAAGCTATACTTTAGCTGTACTTTAGCTGTACTTTAGCTATACTTTAGCTATACTTTAAGCTGCAGGCTTTAGATTTTCAATAATATTGTCAATAAATCTTATATCTAATTCTACTATTATAGTTCTAATCCTAGTCTAATTCCAATATTACAGTTCTAGTTCCAGTCTAATTCTATTATTACAGTTCTAATCGCCTTTTCTAGAATCGGTGGTTCAAATGGAGATGATAAACTTGAGAAAGAATTCCTTGTGAGAGCTACGGAGAAGAAAATGATCGGATTGAAAGGACATCGGTGAGTTTATGAATAATTATTAGCACATACAGTCACGTACAGTAACGTACAGCACGTACAGCACGTACAGAACGTACAAAACGTGCAGCCACGTACAGAACGTACAGAACGTACAGCACGTACAGCACGTACAGCACGTACAGAACGTGCAGCACATACAGAACGTACAGCACGTACAGCATGTACAGCACGTACAGAACGTACAGAACCTACAGAAAGTGCAGCACATACAGAACGTACAGCACGTACAGCATGTACAGCACGTACAGAACGTACAGCACGTACAGCACGTACACTACCTCAATAAATGGATTTTCGATAATTCTGAACAATTTCTCATATGTAAATGATGATTTCTAGCTCTGTTGGTGGGATTCGTGCTTCACTCTACAATGCGATCACTCTTGATGAGACAAAAGAATTAGCTGAGTTGATGAAAGAGTTCCAAAAAGAAAAACAACAATGAAATAATGATTCTAATGATTCTAACTTCTATCTTCTAATGACTCTAACTTCTAACTTCTAACTAAAAATGAAATATTGAGTCTAATTCTCTTTTCTTTATTGATAAACCTTTCATATTTGTCTCTTTACGTTCATTTTATTTCATTTTATTTTATTTTATTTCATTTTATTTCATTTTTACTTCAAGCTGATCTTTACTACTTTACTGATCTTTACTTTACAGTCTTTATTGAATGAAGATCAGTTAAACGATCAAAATAGAAGAGTTAAACGATCAAAATAGAAGAGTTAAACGATCAAAATAGAAGAGTTAAACGATCAAAATAGAAGAGTTAAACGATCAAAATAGAAGAGTTAAACGATCAAAATATTGGGTTGGGGCCTATGACTCAGCGGCTATTGTCATATGTCCCAGTTCTCACACTTTCTTCAAAAGAAACCCATTTTGGTGTGAATGGAAAAGTTGTAGAGAATCAAAAATTAGGCTTATAGCCAAATTTCCAAAAAGTTACACTTAGTAGTTTCGCTTAAAATGCAAGTTTTGTGAAAATTCGTAAATTTGGCATTTCTTGAAAAGCAGTTTTTGAATCGTTCTGAAAATTTGGATATAAGCTTCATTTTTAATTCTCTACAACTTTTCCATTGACACCAAAATGGGTTTCTTTTGAAGAAAGTGCTCAAACTGTCACATATGACAATAGCCCGCGGTTTTCAATTCACCAACCCAATAGTATTAGGCTTGAGTCTAGTTGCCAATAATCTATCGATTTTTGGTTTAATTGCTTAGCTTTGTACCCATTCCCGTTTATTGATCCAATTTGCTTCGGTTTATGAAAACTTTATGGTTTTTGAGGTCTCTTCTTTCGGATTTCGATTTAGTTACCCAAGCAGGGACATTTTTGCTTCAATTACCCAACTAGGCTCATGATTTTAGCTGTGTTCCTCAAAATTCATTTTAATTACTCATCTTTCAATTGTTTTTAGAACCCAGAGATCAAATCTCTCACAAGCAAGCGTTGAACGAAACGGGAAACGCCCAACTTTCATTTTATTTTATTTTATTTCATTTTATTTCATTTTATTTCATTTTACTTCAAGCTGATCTTTACTACTTTACTGATCTTTACTTTACAGTCTTTATTGAATGAAGATCAGTTAAACGATCAAAATAGAAGAGTTAAACGATCAAAATATTGGGTTGGGGACTATGACTCAGCGGCTATTGTCATATGTCCCAGTTCTCACACTTTCTTCAAAAGAAACCCATTTTGGTGTGAATGGAAAAGTTGTAGAGAATCAAAAATCAAGCTTATATCCAAATTTTCAGAACGATGCAAAAACTGGTTTTCAAGAAATGCGAAATTTACGAATTTTCACAAAACTTGCATTGTAAGCGAAACTACTGAGTGTATCTTTTTGGAAATTTGGCTATAAGCCTAATTTTTGATTCTCTACAACTTTTCTATTGACACCAAAATGGGTTTCTTTTGAAGAAAGTGCTCAAACTGGGACATCTCCAGTCCTCCATTTTTGAGTCTCACACTTGTCTCACACACAAACCAAAATCCTACCACGAAAGAGGAATCCGCTGATTGCCTGTAAAATGGGCAGAAGTCGTCAATAATAATGGAAATTATTTCGAATGAATTCATGGTTTTATGTTCAATAAATTTGCCTTTCTTTTGTCCGCCGAGTCATAGTCCCCAACCCAATAGAAGAGTTAAACGGCTAAAATTAAAACTAGCAAAGAATATACGATCTCCTAACAGAATTAGATGAATTAGATCTAAAATGAAGAACTCTAAAGAAATTAAAACGGTACAGAATGATACATAATGATTGACATAATGATTGCCGTACAGGAAAACGCAAAAGACGTACAGTAATGAACTCAATGAACTCAATGAACTCAATGAACTCAATGAACTTTTTTCCTATTTTCTCCTGACTCTCCTGACTCTCCGGATTTGAATTTTATCGAAAACGTATGAGCTTTCTTCTTGGCTTTATGGTTCATTCATTTTGCTCATACGAAAACGTATAGCCAAAGTTTACCGGGAAACAAGACGTATCGAAACAAGACTACCGTATTTACTCTATTAGTGGGGTCCCCCACTATTTTTTCAATCCCCTTCCAGACGACCCCACTATTAGAGAGGACCCCACTATTAGAGAAATTTAAAAGAACATAAAACCAAAGTTTTAAATTGAAAAGATATCACTTTTTCTCCGAAATTCTTGACAAAACAAGTTTGGCTTCATATTTTATTTAGCTTTAACCGTAACAAAACATTAACAAACAGTAAAAGAACTAATCCAAGAGATCAACAATTGATGTATCACTTTCGTTACCAATATTAGAGAGGACCCCACTATTTTTTCAACCCCCCTCCAGACGACCCCACTATTAGAGAGGACCCCACTAATAGAGTAAATACGGTAACAAGGGAATGATCTCAACTCAAAGTTCAGAAAAAACTGGAAACAAAGTGCTTAACATAGAATCAACAATGACAAACAAAACAGTGCAAAAATTAACTACTAATGGCTATTGCTATGCAGGTTATGCAAAATCGGGATTCAAAATCATCCTTTATAACGCTTCTCTCACTGGCAGCCTGAGATTACCAGTGGCCTAGTGGGTTTGGTTTTGGTTAAAGGCTTTGGTTTGTGAAACGGCCGCCCTGTTTTTCCTCTTGGGTTCAATTCCATCCACATTCGAGAAATTGCGATTCTTGAAACTATTTCGTTTTGATGGAGTGATTCGGAGCTGCTGAAAGTTGAGAGAGTCTTCGTATTGAGAAACATTGTTGTTGCGGAATGTTGTTGCTTGTGGGCGGAATTGAACCCAAGGGAGGAAAATAAGACCGCCGATTAACAGACCAAAGCCAGATCGATTTGAATTTTGGTGTCATTTTGTAGATCTCAATAAGTGCAATAAAATGACACAAAGAGCAGAAAGATTGGCCGAGTTAGAAGAAAGTTATGACTCATCTAGGTCAAAACCATCTTCCTTCCGACTCTTCTGATCAATAACTTTCTTCTAAGTGGGCCAATCTTTCTGTTCTTTGTGTCACTTTGTAGAACTCAATAAGTGCAATAAAATGACACAAAGAGCAGAAAGATTAAAATGACACAAAGAGCCAGTTTGTTTTTATTGTTTGTTTTGTTTGTTTTCTTTTGTTCTTATTGTTTTCTTTTGTTTTCTTTTCAAAAAAAACCAATATTTGTACACAATTTATTGGGTTGTCCAGTTATGAGTGCGCGTTTTTACTATTTTGTAAATTTCTCAAGATATCGAACAGATATATACGAGTGTTATCGTAGAGCACTCGAGCCAGGCTTGAGTCTAGATCCAGAGCCAGGCTTGATCGAACAGATATTGATATATATCTGTTCGATATCTTGAGAAATTTATAAAATAGTAAAAACGTGCACTCATAACTGAACAACCCAATAGGAACTGAACCCTGAACCTGGGTTGGATCTGGATCTGGATCTGAAGGCTAGGCTCCTGGATCTGATTTAGAACTGAAGATGGGACTTAGACCCAAGCCTGGTTCTGGATCTAGACTCAAGCCTGGTTCTTGACCTAGACTCAAACCTGGCTCTGGATCTAGACTCAAGCCTGGCTCTGGATCTAGACTCAAGCCTGGTTCTTGACCTAGACTCAAACCTGGCTCTGGATCTAGACTCAAACCTGGCTCTGGATCTAGACTCAAGCCTGGTTCTTGACCTAGACTCAAACCTGGCTCTGGATCTAGACTCAAACCTGGCTCTGGATCTAGACTCAAGCCTGGTTCTTGACCTAGACTCAAACCTGGCTCTGGATCTAGACTCAAAACCTGGCTCTGGATCTAGACTCAAACCTGGCTCTGGATCTAGACTCAAGCCTGGCTCTGGATCTAGACTCAAACCTGGCTCTGGATCTAGACTCAAACCTGGCTCTGGATTTAGACACAAGCCTGGCTCGAGTGCTCTACGATAACACTCGTATATATCTCTTCGATATTTTGAGAAATTTACAAAATAGTAAAAAACACACATTCATAACTGTACGACAACCAAATACTACACTTTTTCCCTTAAAAACTATTAGAAATTAAGCAGAGAACTACTTAAAATGTGGGAAGTTTAAAGTTTTATTTTTTTTTATTTTGTTTTTTTTTGTTTTCTTTCCTTTTTTGCCATTTGCTGAAAGGCTGTTCGAAAAGGATGAGAGAGAAATGTGAAAAATAACGAGCAAACGGGAAAACCTGGAGGGATTTCAAAGGAAAATGCGAAAAAAATGCGAAAAGATTGAAAAGAATTTGAGAAAACAGAGAAAATTGGAGGAAAACGGCTGTGATCTTTGCCGGCAGACATCAAGAGGAGAGAATTTTTTCGAGAAAGAGTGAGCGCAGAGCCCCGTCACTATTTCACCTCTCTTCACTCACCTTTCTCTTTCATTTCTCTATTTCCTTCATTTTTTCTCCCATTTCTCACTGCTTTCTATGTTTTCATGATTTCAAAGAACATGCGTTACCCAATTTGTGACTTTATCGTCGATTACTTGTTTTTTTAGTGAACTTTAGGCGCACAGCTTTCTGCGCACAGCATCCTTCCTATGCATCCTTCCTATGCATCCTTCCTATGCATCTTTCCTAAGCATCCTTCCCAAGCATCCTTCCTAAGCATCTTTCCTATGCATCCTTCCTATGCATCCTTCCTAAGCATCCTTCCCAAGCATCTTTCCTATGCATCCTACCCTTTCTACAGAATGTCCCACAATTATCCTATAATTACTACGCTTAACTTCTTTCTGTCTTTCTTTCTAGAACGATTGAACGATTGAACGATTGAACGAATGATTGAACAAACGATTGAATGAACGATTGAATGAACGATTGAACAATTGAACAATCGAATAAGAAAATGTATTAATCTGAATTGGATCAGATGAGCTTTGAATTGAATTAGATGAGATCCTAATTGAATCAGATGAGCTTTGAACTGAAT